AACTGTTGCACTAACGCATATATTAGAACGAAAAGACGCATGTGAAAAAATACGATAAATATATATGCGTTTCATACGTTTCCACCTCGTTTTACAAGTATTTATTTCCAAAATTAATCATTCAATCGGAAAAGACCGGAGGCGCCAACTGCAAAAAAACCCCGAATTGCAAAAAGTAACTATTCCAAAGTCAATCAATCCACGGCGAAAACAGCTGCGGAAATAACATCGACGTGATACCAACGCAGATCAAGCGGAGGTAATTTCTCTGCAAAAACACACTGTGCTCTACGACTTAGCAGAGAAAAATCAAAGCATTATTGCACATTTCCAGCAAAGACAGTCACCGAAGTGTGTTGTAGCAAATGTTGAACAGTTAATTTTCCCGCTAACTTCATAAAAGTAGATATGAAAAGATAAAAATACAACTATGACAATCTGGCTTTCTACATGTTTCGTAAAAACACGGATGTATATTATTATATTATCTATCCGAAGAAAAGCGCGACAATATCTCGAACCTACCAACAGCCTCGCCTTACATATACTTATGCAAATTTTCAGAGTATGCGGATGCAAATTTTCGCAAACACCGTTGGGGCAGGTAAAACGCGCTGGGTTACGGCAGTTGTTTATTCTTTCGAGACACCACGCGATAGGAAACGATGGCAAACTCCTGCCTTATCGTCCATAAGATTAAAATGAGGTTCAAGTTTATTAAAGAAAGAACAGCACAAGACCAAGAATAATGATATGCTTTTTAATGTAATAATATTGAAAAACAATTTAAAAAGTTTTATTGACTCCTCGGGAGATAATTCTTAGATTTCCAGTAAAAACGTAAGTGAAATTTTTAAAAATTATAGAAAGCTGATACAACATTTAAAAAATACTTGAAGAAATAGAAAAATAATAGAAAAAAGTACATCAATTTCTTTCGTGTGCGTTTTATAAAATAAAACCACTTTCTCTCCTTGTTGGAAACATAATGTAAAACAGATTTATGAAAACACTATCATGAACTTTTCTACGCATAATAATTTCAAATTGCTTTATAAAGCTTCGGTAAGATCTTTCGGTATATGATTTCGTACAGATAAAAAGAGATAATCAACTGCATTTTGAAATTTATCTAGGAATTAATGTTACTTCATCGGTAAAGCATAAAAATAAACGGCATTTAAGTTATTTATTTATACACTGCAGTGTGGCAGTGATTTGTTAAATTTAATATTTATGGTAGAACGCATGACTTCTTTTTGTCGATTTTACATCTCTGAAAAATAATTAAGAGTCAAAAGCTGTGGGACGAGAATCCAAATAAATCAGTTTTATCTTCCCTCCAGGTATTACGTGGATTCCGAGCATTCAAATTACTCTTGTAACAGCACAGAGAGCATTCAAAATTCAGTTATCTCAATCATTGCAAGAACTTCGCGTAAAAATATTCTTATATTTATCTAAATGTCCAGATAATCGCTATAAAGCAATGGCTAGTTATATTTAATGCTAAACCAAATCTTGTATAATTCATAAATAATTCCTGCTAAAACGTTATTGTATTAAAAAAAATTACAATATTTTTATAAATTACTATTATAATCATGATTCAATTCATAGTATGAAATTATTTTGCAATATCGTATTTATAGTATTTATCTTTTAATAAAATTACTATTATTGGCATACCGTTGGTTCGACGCTATCATACCCTAAATTGTCTATTCCCGTCATGCTGTAATCTGTAAAATAATAATAAAATTTATTAATCTACAAATTAATATAAATTATTAATTTGTATAATAATAATATCATGTAATAACGATTCATTAAATAATGATGTACTATATTTATAAAATTAAAATAATATTATAACTAAAACAGTAAAATGTTGCTCGAATATGTTAATTATCGTATTGTTAATAAAATTTTTTGCTAAAAAATTCAATTTCAAAGAAATCCAAAAACGTACTAATCCGCAAAAAAGTAAAAGTTGTTTATGTGCATTTGTTTAAACGTCAAGAAAGCTAAATGTTTTTGAATGTCGCTGTAGTATCTTTGTAAGACATTCGTTGATAGATGCAAATAATGCGTAATAATGTTCACAACAATCAAAGTAACAGGATAATGGACATCACGTTAAATTATTATGCACCCTGCATGGAATGTGTCCAGACTTAATCTCTGTACGAATCAAATTCAAGGTTCGTATGTAGTAGGTCATCGGTGGGAAAACTTTCGCTTCTATTAACTATGTTTTCTCGAAAGTTTAATAGTACCATGAATGTGCACGGACAGGTGAAACGGTCGCATGTCCACAGGCATCAATTTACGAGTGTTTTCTGCATGTTTACGGTCGGATTGATAGCAAAAATAATCACATGGTTTTCTTGAATATGCATAAGGCTTCGTCATAATGAACGATAACGTTTGTGATATGAATTATTTAAAATCCAAAGAAACAGAAAAAATGCACGAGTGTACATGGTGAATCAAGTGTCACAGACGAATCCAAAAGCTCTCAATAGAAACATCTTTGAATTCAATATGTTTCCTCCATTATTAATTTTTTTTTCTACATATATGATTATCGCCTATAATCTTTGCATTTCCTTCATTTATCTCAATCATTTCTTGTTCTTTCAAATGTATATGTATAAAAAAGTCTTCGTCTCTTAAAAAAAAACTTTTACTTTACGTGAACAAAAACCCAAGTAGCAATACATGTCTAAAAGACAACTTAATGCCGTCTTAAAGTTGTCTTTCACACATACTATCTAGTACATTTTATCGTAAAAATACAAAAGAGTGCGATAGTCTGAAAAATAAAGTAAAAATACAAACGAATGCGATAGTCTGAAAAATAAAAGTATTCCTTCACGTCCTCGAAAGATGCAACATTTGTTAACTATTTTATAATAAACTCACAATGCCCGTAAACATTTTAATAAATCGCACTTGAATAGACTCGAAGAGAGCGATGTACACTCGTCGTTAAAACGTTCTTTCTCGAACGGTTAAAATGACTGGCAAAGGATACCGCAATATATGTCCTTCAAATTTAGATATATGATCGGAAAAGAGCTCACGCGCAGGATTCGTGCTTTATCGCGAATATATAATGGCATTTGTTCCAGCCTATCGTAATGGCAGGATAAAAGTTTCCATCGTTACAGATTGTTCAACCGCTTTGTCGTTCAGCGCTCTTTCTCTCTCTTCTTTCCGATTCTCCTAAAATAATACATTCGCAAACGTGAAAAATAACGCGAGGAGGAAAAATGCCGGAACTGCTGCAAACCGCGCGCCGTACCGCGACGATTTCGCGACTCGGCGACGCTAATTATATGAGTCTCGATGGATACTGACGGTGCTTCCGTTAATTAATTTGCGTCTGTCTGTACGTCTCTTTCGCATCGCTATATAATTAATTAACGTAACCGTAGGCTTACGAACAAAACGAAGACGGGAGGTGATTATAGCTGTATTCCAAACGGTATAGATGCAGCCGTTTCCTCCTTCCGACGTTTCGCGCTTACAAAGTACACGTACAAAATTTTATAAACTAAATCGAATCTATTTTATCGCGATCAACATTCAATACTGCTGTAACGTTATTTGAAATGATATGTTAAGATTTGTTTGTAACACCGTAATTCCATGCGCGATATGTATTGACAAATGATAATGACGTGTGTATAATTACAACATATTTACCGTTATATAATCTTGTATCACTTACCGTGCTAAAAAATATCTAGACGCGAATTTTGAACCCGATACATAGAAAATTCTGATTTGTAATCCATATCGAGCACATGGTTATATAATTCCAATGTGAAGGTCACGCCTCCATTACGGGAGGAGTCTGCCTTTAAAGAGCAGGAAACTCGCGATAACGCATCGCGTTTTACTTTCACGTATGTTGATGCGAACGAGTCCACGAGTTCAAGACGACTACCTTGAACGCTCACTAACCGAACGTGATGTAGTCTCAAGTCAGTGGCCTCAGAGTGGGGCTTATGTTGCACAGCGTAGCTGCAGGCTGGAGCGTAACTTCGAGTTCTTTTAAAATTTTCAACGCGCGCACTACATGCGTATCTCCCATACGTGGTAATTAATATATTTATATGTTTATATATATATACTTTTAAATATGTTACATGATGCTTTATACGTACAAAAAATATTATTTCTTTCTATTGTATTACCATATATTTTTATTTAAACGATATTATATTTATACACATATAAATATGTAAGAGTAAACAATTATATTATGTTTTATTACTTATTAAATTTTTTAATTCATATTTCAACATTAATAAATGATCTATACATTATCTATGTGTCAATGATATGTGTCACCTCTGTAGACGATATACACGTATATTTAGGGCTAAAATTTTAGTTCTTTTGATAATATTAATATTATATAACTATGTTTATTATATAGAATATTATATATTATATAGAATGACTTTGCATATCTGACTGCAAACACATGTAATATCTATAAAGTTAGTTTGCGAATAGTTATTACTATTCGTAATATATTATACTAATGATCTGGAATTACTTTTATCACTAATTTTTTTTACTATTGTAGACTCAAGGTCTACAGGGTGAGTCTTTCCATATCCGACAAAATTTTTAAGAAGGTAGAACGGATCGAGATGAACGAAAAATTCCTGTACCATTTTGCAATTTTCGTAATAGTTAACAAGTAATTAATTATTAAAAATCGTTGTCTTAGGCCGGCCTATCGCCCAATTCGAGCACGTGGCAAGATGTGACTGCCCGGCGATCGATATTGCTAAGCGCACATCTCGCCACGCGCTCAAATTGGGCGGTAGGCCAGCCTAAGACAACGATTTTTAATAATTAATTACTCGTTAACTATTACGAAAATTGCAAAATGGTACAGGACTTTTCCTTTCATCTCGATCCGTTCTACCTTATCAAAAATTTTGTCGGATATGGAAAGATTCACCCTGTATATCGGACTATCTTATCTCAATTGCCTTATGGATAAGATTAAATAATGCATTTGCTGGTCATGCTATAGTTATCAGCTTTAATAAGTGGTTATTTTTAAAACTGCACCTATAATTTGACATACGTCTGTGATTTTGTAACGATTAATGATGAACTAAATCTATTTTAGGATAAAAATTCAATTTAAATGCCGAGAAAAAGCTTACTAACATGTTTTACATTAAGCAAATCTCATTGGTTATTTTGCAAATAGCAAATAGAATACCAATGTTACTTGGCTAAAGGTAGTTTTGTCCTACAAATTATTTACTATAATAATATATCATTATTTAGATACTAGGCAATAGCGATTTATTCTTATTCTGTTATTGAGTAGTAACGACTTTACTACTGCAGCAAAATGCATTGATTAAGAATCTAATTAAAATAGATTTCAGATAAAAAATTTTACGCCTCTACGAACAAATTCACTCTCGGCAACATGTTGCTATTTTACTATTGTAAAATAATATTTTATTTCTACAATATCTAGAATAATTCTCTCAGCTTTTACTATCTCTATAATTTCAAGACTAATTAATTATGATACAGCAATTTGCTTGCTTTCATATTAAATTTTACATCAGTTACGTCAGTAACTAATTTTTGTTGAAACATTTCATTTTTGGAGATACCACTCTTTGTCATTATCAAAATGCTGATAACACTGTCTGGCGAAACGCGGAAGCACTTAACATATCTCTCGTCTGCTTATTGGAAAACGATAGGCTTCGCTCGCCCATATTCAGATAACATAAAAATATACAATGTAAACGACAAACAGAGCGACGAGTAGAAGCTAGGACACTTGAAACCAATCAAGTCATCTCCAAATCGTGCAAGTATTGTCCTTGCCGGCGGTAATAATAGTATCCCCCGTGTATGAAAATGCGCAAGCGAACACATCGTCGCTGTGTCCTTTCAATTGTTGAAAGCAGGAGCCGTCGTCCGCGGACCATATCCTGGCTGTTTTGTCCAAGGAGGCAGTTAGAAGTTGATGGCCATTTGGACTAAAGCAAACTAACAATTCGCACGATTTTACCCTCTAAAAGTCAATCAGTAGATTATCACTGAAAACAGTGAATAATCAGTAATTTGCAGTTATAAGTATACCACTCCGATCTTCAGTAGTATATTGACTTTTAGATAGTAGCACATTCATACAGCACATATAAATATAGAATAGACGCGTCCGTTTGCAATAAGAAATTTACCTTTCGACACTTCTTCTTGATGGCCTTTCATGAGAGCCAACTCCTGAAAAGTGTTGCTTATGTCCCAAACTCGCGCGGTGGAATCGCTACTGGCTGTCGCCAGTCTCTTACCATTGTTGTCGAAAGCGAGATCCAAAACTTCATCGTCGTGTCCCAACAAGGTAGCCACGCAAGAATTCGCTCTCGCGTCCCACACCTTTGCACTTTTATCCATCGAGGACGACGCGATCAATGAACAATCGTAATTATACAGACAGTTGGACAACTCCGCGCGATGGCCAATTAGCACGCTTGTCCGTCTAGAATTTCAATCGAAAATATTTCATCCTTGATCGAGAGCCCACATTTCATGTCATTCAGAGAAAAAAATTGTTTCGAAAAAATGTGATTCATACAGAACTCGCATTGTGATACAAGAGAAAAAGTGGCGATTTGAAAGCGTGTATCAAGCAATCATTCGGTATTGATAATTACTTTGCGTAATGAAATCTACGCCATGCGTTATACCAGAGACGGTAATAAAAATGAGATAACGCAGGATGAGAACAAAAAAGAGGGGAACCCACGCAAATGTTCTTGTATCCCAGATGTTGACGGTTCCGTCGAAGGAGCCCGATATGATCTGATTTCCATCGTCGTTGTAATGCAGCGCAATAACTTCCGCCGTGTGTCCGCGTAACGTGCCCAATTCCTGACCTGCCGAATCCAAATCGTGTCTCTCGCATAAAAAAAATTTACGACGGTATCGGTGCTTTATTAGAAGAAACCCTCTCGAGCGGAGATAGCAGCTCTTAGTATATATTTTTAAGTTAAAAAATTATATCTAGTAATGAAGTAACAAAACCAGCTGTCTAATCTAATATGTTCACTGAAAAAGATAAAACAAAGAACCGACTAAACCGTGTTTAGAAAGCATTTATCCATTGCACTAAATATATTAAAGCCATTTCCAATATCAATCAATCGATTTCGTTAATATCCTAAATTGCGTAAACTGCCTTCGAGAGAGACTGAGAGTTCGCGACAACTTGGTGACTTTCTTTAAGCTCGCTTAATTAGAGTATCGGGCAGCCGCTGCGATAATGTAAAGCCGGCAATAATTGGATACAACGATAAGTATACAAGAATACGTCGACTACTCTCGCACATTGTTTGCACGCCGTGTTCGAGCATCGCGAAGTGGATTCGACAGTGGTACGTTGCGCCCGATCGATCGTCGTGCTGGTCGAATCGAACGCGCACGTTTATTATGTGAGATAACATTGCGATATTTTCAATACCGGTTTCTATATGGAATATTTTTGATGTCGCGTCGATGGAGCCCGTCGCGAGCTTGCATCGCGCCGGTGAGAATTTAGCCACCACCACCTCCGCATCGTGACCCCACATGGTTGCGAGGCAGTGACCCGTCCGCGAGCACCAGACCTTCGCCGTTTTGTCGAAGGACCCGGTTACAATTTTGTCTCTGAAATGGTAAACGACCGATGTAGGTCTAACATATGTATACACATATGTACACGCCGTTATTGCGACGTACGTAATGTATAACGCGCGTTATACGTTAAAAGGGGAGATCTCGGGCGCAGTAAGTCGTAGTCAAGTTCTTGCTCGTGTCTTACATTCGATCCCGGATCGATATAATCGCAACTAACTCCGATTATTGTGGACTAACTTACGAAGTCGGATTGTTGAACGAGACGGCGTAGACCACGTTCTTATGGCCTTCGAGAGTAAAAAGCTCCGCTCCACTGTCAATGTCCCAAACTTTACAAGTTCGGTCATAGCTCCCCGTCAAGCATCTGTCGATCGAACGACATGTCGATTATACGAAGCCACGCTTTGGCAAATTGTTCGCTGCTGTTAATTTATTCTTACACAATTAGTGCTTTTACATTTTATATCTTTCTCTCTCACTAGCTTTTCAATCGATTGTGCTACATTGCGGGATTTAATTAACATAAAGCACTAGCCACTTCGAAGCTTTGTAATTCTTACGAGTCTCATTAATAATTGAGCGACAGTTTTAATGCAGAGTACCTTTTACCTAGTTTATCGAACGCTATATTAGTAACCGGCAAAAGATGCGTCTGTAAGGTTTTGTATTTGTAGTAGCGCTTGGTATTTGTATCGCAAACTTTAGTCTGCAGTTTCTGCAGAGTTTCAACTAACTGGTCCATTACACTTTCGGTTATTATAGGTTCGGCCGCTTTTATGCTTTCCGCTAATGCTCTTACGTCCGTTCTGCAAAGTAAATTGTTTAATTGCTAAAATTGCTCGCTTCATTCCGCGATCTTGCGCCAAATGTATGTAACGTTGTGCTCGAAGGCACGATATAAAATATAGACGATAATGAAGTGAATTTAAATAACAATTAAGCAGCTACGTTGCTGCGGCGAATAAAGGGGCTAACAAAAGAGCTAAATCTGATTCTATCTCATTACTCGGCGGACAGGTCCAGTAAGTCGATCATTTTTGTCTTGATGTCACCGCCTTGAGTGTACTCCAAAGCGAGACCTAAAAAGATTTAAAGTGGATCGTTTGTATTTTCTCAAGTGTGCTAAATTAATTCACAAGAATGCAAGTGTTGTCGGGCAACATCATTAATACACCCCGCGACTGTACACCTTTTGTTTACCTGGCGGGAAATAACGAAGCAAGAATTTCAGCAGCTTCATGTGGACATTCCAATTAGGATGCGTCCAGTGTTCCAGACAGGGTTGCGATTCACTACTATTTGACACGGGGGAGGCACGGATTTAATTATAAAATGTGGATCACGCGTCAGGGATTACGTATCACGAAGGTGCGTTTTCTCCGCGCCAGCCAGACCGGCCGGAGCTGTCAAAACCGCGTTTTGTTTTGTTCGTTCGTTCGTTCGTCCGTTCGTGCGTACGTGCGTGCAGGCGTGCGTGCGTGCGTGCATGTCAGTCAGGCGCGTTGTCTTGTGCAAACGATTGCGCGTTGCCTAGCACTGGAGATTTGGTTGCCAAGGCTCGCTTGATCAATTCTAAACACTTGATAGTAAAATTCAAATTGTAAGACGCGCGATCAATTTTTATCGTAACAACTGTTTCGAAAGAGGAAAATAATAAAGTTGTATATCCTTCGTTACTTTATACTACTGCATTACAATAAATAGAGGAGAGTCTCCTATATTCTAGACTCCTAATGTGAGATAGCGGAGTTTCTGCTAAATTATTAGGCATCATCTGTTGGTTCTTCTATGAATTCATTGCCCTTGGAGTGAATCTGTTTAGTGAAAATTTTATTGTTAGAACGTGCGTGTCATTGTTGCAAAAGAGATTTGTGAAATTGGATGTTGAAAACCCTGCTATCTTATATTAGGAGTCTCTATCTTATAACAGAGAACTTTCCTCTACTATATGTATAATATTCTTTATTAAACAATATTAAAACAAATGTTTTTATTAGCCAAGTTTTTGATCAGTAGAGAAAAACCTAAAGATACATGGTCACATAAGTCCTTCTCTTTTCTCCAGCCCTTTTCTGCTAAATTCTTTTGTTTTGAGCGAAAACGCATTGAATGAGCCTAATTTCAGTCGATTTTGGAGGTGAGGGAGCTAAACTGAATAATTACCGCTTTATAAAACTGGAGTGAATCAACGAAAAATGGCGGATCAATCAATCATCTGTGCGTTTATGCCCATTCTACACCTAGGGATGATCCTACTTGTGGCTCATCCGATA